CTAATATATTAGTTGCAATAACATCTTATATTATGGGATGAAGCGAGTAGTACTTAGCTAAGGAAAAAGCAACTTAATAGTGCCCTATGTAGAACAAACTAACCAATATTGTGGCAGACTTATGGGTAATACTGCCTATTGTATTTTTCTATCGCTTTTAACAACTTATAAGTACTTAAACGAGAATAAAAGTAGGGAAAGTTGTGGTGAAGCTCAGGCTCCAAAAAAACACTCTCTTTAAAAGTAACTTATTAGTGCTATATATACCAATATTGTGGCAGACCTATGGGTACTACCTATCGTATTTCTGGGCAAATGCGGAGGTGACCCGAAATGCTCTTGGGATCAAGGAGGGGAGCGCGGAGGAGTGGGTGAGGTGCCACAACGGCGATCTTCCCTACACAATCGACCTCAGGAGCAGCATTGAGTACCACCGGAACGTCACGGCCAATGGTGGCTACCGTGCGCTTGTATACAGCGGCGACCATGACGCGTTGGTGCCGCACCTGGGGACACAGGCGTGGATCAGGTCACTTGGCTTCCCCGTCGCCCACCATTGGAGGGCGTGGCATCTCCATGGCCAGTCTGCTGGGTACCCACACGCACACCATTGTTGCTAGCTACTACTACTTCTTGCTTCATGTTGATGCATGTATTTGTTGCAGGTTCACCTTAACTTACTCCAACAACATGACATTCGCAACCATCAAGGTAACACTTGCCTTCTTAATTTTCCTGGATGCACAAGCGGTTCTAATCAAGTTCCATTCGGTTGATGCAGGGTGGCGGGCACACCGCGCCGGAGTACGAGCCCGAGAGGTGCTTCGCCATGTTCAGCCGGTGGATACTCGACAAACCACTCTAGTGCTCCTAAAGCAACGACCAAGTAGAGAAGGGGGCAAGCCACACGATTTCGTGTATTGGGTGCCTCTCCACTCCACTAATCAATGGTTTCGCCTACATATGAACTATTACAATACTGCCTGGCAATCAGTATAGTTCGTACTAGATCATATAGGCGTGCCATGCCGAATATATTTTAGAAAATACGGATACTACAAATGTCTTGTTAAGTATATGGTATAGATGTAAGAGAGAGAGAAAATTCTAGCAAGAAAAAAGAAATCTGCATTTTGGTGCAAGAGACAAAGAGTTTACAAATGCAGGTCCAGGGGGGTCATACCAATGCTACATACAACTGGTTATCGTGTTTGCATACACTACTGTTCAGAACTAAAGATACAGTGATCTCCCCCGCAAAAACAAAAAACAAAAAAAAACAGTGATCTCACATTAAATTGACACAGGGCTATGGCTATTGCTTGTTCAATTTCAATGCCGCCTCCTTGTACGCCATATTTAAATTGACACACGACTTCAGGTCGCGTTAACGAGGCCTCACGGCTTTCTTATTTCAGATCAAAGAGCATTTTGTCTATCAATTTCCTAAGGGCTTGACTTGAGGTCCTGAGCTGGAGCGACATGGTTCCTTTCAAGTTGCTCCGTTACTGAACGGTTCCAAAAAATTAAAAGTACAGATAGGAGTGAGTTTCCGGAACGCTGATGTAATGTTTTGAGACACCAGCACCGAGAGGTTGAGTCGTTAATCTATCGCCACGGACGCGAATAGCTGACCGCCACGGACGCGAATAGCTGACAAGGGCCAACTTGGTCAGGATCGCTCGGTAAAGCAGTCCTTCCAGAAAGACAAGCAAATCCGGCCAGAAAAATCATCGTATTACAAACAAACAGAACAATTCGTGCTAAATAAGTTAGGATGAAAGTAACATGACCAACAGACAAAAATTTAAGGACACCAATAACTGCCGTACGTGTGGTATATTCGATATGTACCCACACACCATGTGTGGTGTGAGCAGGAGGCAGCCCACACAAGTTCTATGTGGGTGGACATTAGAATTGCCCACACGTGTGGGCGCGGCTACTTCGTGCCACACGCCTAACAAGTATTACTCATCTTCATTCCGTGCGTGTGGCACGAAGCAAAAATGCCCACACGTCCTGGCGTAGCTACGTTAGGTACCCCGCGAGATGACGATTTAGGGCCGTTCTGAAATTGCCCAGGTTCTCAAGAACTTCTTAAATTCAACTTCTCGCATAGCTTCTCGCTTCAGGTGGCGACTCGAAAAGCGTTCGGCAACACAGTTTCGTTTCCTATCGTCAAGCAAGAGGCTGCCAGCCCATTTAGCGGGATTAGCAGGCCAGGTTCGGGGCCCAAAAGGAATAGTCAATGTGAGAGAGAGCGAGTTCGGGAAAGAAAACGAACCGGTACACTCAACTTCACTTGGCGGTGGCAACCTTGTGGTAATTAGTACGAACTCCTAACTTCTTCGTTTTGTGAAGCTGGGCAGTAGCAACTTCAGCAGTTTGCACTACAGACTCGTAAAGCTTCATGAAGCTGACTCCACGGAGCTAAAATCGTTCTGTCCGGCTCCACGCCTGGAGTTGGAGAAGCGTGGAGTGGAAGGACTTCAGAACATGCCCTTAATTACCATTCTGGTTGGCAGATGTAGTTATCCGGAATGGTAAGTGTAGTTGTAAAAGCATGGCAACTTTATCTGTTTTGGTTAACTATAGTTGCCATGTCTAATTTATGATAGTTGTCACGTGTAATCAAACCGTAGTTGCCGTATGTGATTAACTACTTGCTACATATGGTCAAACAGTAGTTGTCATGTGTGTTTACCTAGTTGCCATGTGTAGTCCAACCATAGTTGCCATTGTTAATCACAGTTGTCATGTGTGTTTATCTGGTTGCCACGTACGCGCAACTGCAGTTACCGTCTAGCAAAAGAATCACAGTTGCCATGTGTGGACGTTGGAAAGCATTTCGCCCACACGTGCATGAACTAGGTGGTGACTTTGTGGGCAGAAAATTAGTTCGCCCACACAGCGCAGCTAGCAAACAGCGTGGTGCGTGCGTGTGGGCAAACTTTCCAACGTCCACACATCAGTCCCGTCCTACGTGGCACACCAAAACCATCTTTTCGTGTCAAGATTCATGCAAAAGACAATGATAAACAATCCAGGCGGGTGGACGAGTTGAAGAACATCCACACGTGTGAGCGAGTTGGAGAACGCTCACACGGGTGGGCGTTAGTGTCTCCGAAATATCATGGCACGCAGCAGACGAGTGAACGAGTATAAAAGGAAGATCCTAGTATAAAAGGAAGAAATTATCAAGCATCACCATCCAGGCAAGCGAGTAGAAAACCGCGTCGCTGTTTATTCAAATGGAGAAGTTGCGTGACACGGAGGAAGTGCATTGATCATAATACTACTTCAGGCCAAAGAGATAGTATCACAGTAGATCACCACTCACATGTCAAGGTGCATTCTGACTGGGCAACACAATCCACAGTTCCATACTCCGCAAACATGGTACAGTATATATGTTAGTCCTACTACGAAAATGGCTCCCAAGTTCTCAGGCCCATGTTTTTCTTTCTTTCTATTTGGAGGAAATTCACCACTGATATGTGCCTCACTATCTTGTGCTAATCCAAAGATTAGAAGAAAAAAAAAGGTAGCACAATGGTCGTGCACGACACTCCTACCACCATCATGAATTCATGATGGAGAATTAATGTTACAACCCACTCTCCAATCTAAACAACTACTCCCTCCGTTCGGAATTACTTGTCTCGGAAATGAATGTATCTAGAACTAAAATATATCTAGATACATCCATTTTCACGACAAGTAATTCCGAACGGAGGGAGTATATGGAGAGGATTTTAAGGTAAGTTCAGTTATCTTAACAAAATGAATCAAACATGAAGAATGAGGGAACCAAAATAAACAGTTATTGTTGGTTTCATGAAAAGCCCGGTACCAATTAAGCGTAGTTACCAATTAAGCGTAGTTACAACTTCCTGGTATATGAAGTAAATTTCTGCAACCTAAGGTGAGACATCAAATTGAGATTTCTTCAGAAGTTTTGACAGATCAAAGCAATCCTTGAAATAGCATATATCTAAACTTAAAACTGATTCAATTCAATCAAGTAAGCAACAAACTCGAAACATGGCATATTTTACTAGCACAGTACAAGAGAGCGTGCATTCATTTCAACAAGCTTTGCTTCCTAGCACGGTGATAAAAAAACATAACAAGGATGAATTCTAAGGGTTGCAACATGCTACAAGTATATACCAAATTAAAAACAACAAGATCACTGGTAAATAATAAGATAAACTGCACAATGTTATGACAAAACAGGAACATACTGATTTTTACAAGTACTTCAGAAACATATTCCAACACAACTGAGTATAGAAGCTGAAAGGAATGCATCAGTAATACTCCTCAAATTTTACCCATCTCTTTCTCTAACAACAAAGCTAATTGTGCACATTTATTTCGTTGAAACTATTGTGCACATTTATTAGATAGTTCTCTGCCTAAACTATAGATGTGCATAACAGGACCAGTCCTGTAACATGAAAATAATAGTGCAGTTTATCTCCCAAACTCCCACAAAAAACTGGTCATCTCCACTCCAACCATGCTTAAGAAATCAAAACTGCATCTGCGCGATTGCTTTTCTAAATGTCACGACAGTCATCATCAATTCTACCCGGTTGCTTGCTTTTCTAAGTGTCACGACAGGGAAAGAGTAAGAGCATCAACAATCATGAACTCCTCAAACTGGTAAAGAGAATAATAACTCAATATCACAATGCTAACCTCCACTCTTACCACTAAATCAACTAACCATGAGCCAAGAATGATAAGTAACAAACACAGTAAAGAAGAACAGGATTTTGCAGCAGAATGAGAACTTCCTTTATGTTGCATACCACAGATCAGTCCATACTGCGCATTATTATTAATTACAGATTACAACAGGCAAGCACAATAAACTAGAAACAAGAAAACTAAATGAAGTCCTGGCAATGCCACGCTCTTCTTTAGAGCAGGATCCAACAGCACAGCTAGTATTTGGAAGGAGCAGGCGAGTGAGCAGCTTACGAATCTCACAGGTTCTCCATCTGGATATTGCTCTTGAGCGGCACGTACTCGCCAAGGTAGCCGCCGAGGTGCTCGTACAGCGCAGTCCTGTCGATCTCCTGGTTGTGGTAGGCCTTGCAGGCGTAGTAGAAGACGCTCTGCGCGAGCAGCCCCAAGAGATTGACACAGACGAGAACAGAGACGAGCAGAGCGCCGACGCCTATCCGGCCGGCCAAGCTCATGTCGAGGCTCCCCTCCTCGCCCCGCGCTTTGACGACAGCCGAACGGAACATCCCCGTGATGAGCCCGCAGATGGCGAAGTAGGAGAAAACGAGGACGGCGGCCGTGCGAGTGCGGCCCTGAAGGAGCTGCTTGCTCTTGGACATGGCGGCGAGGCCGCAGAGAGGCTCGAGCACGGAGATGACGCTGGCGAGGTGCCAGAGCGCGGAGATGTAGACGTGGATGGCGAGGAAGAGGAAGGCGACGGCGAGGAGGGCGAGGAGGAAAGAGAGGGGGGGCGGGGTGGAGGCGGTCATGGGCGGGTCGAAGAGGAGGATGAGGAGGACAACGGTGATGACGAAGCCGACGTGGTAGGCGAGCATGAGGAGCGAGACCCAGAGGAAGGTGCGGAGGAGGCGGGGCAGGATGGGCGGCAGCGCGGAGAGCGAGGAGGCGATGGAGGCCGGCTTGGCGGCATAGAGGGAGGCGACGGTGAAGACGGCGGCGGCGGTGGAGAGGAGCGAGAAGGTGAAGAGGAAGATGAGGTAGAGGAACTGGTAGGCGAAGAGGGCGACCCACTGCGCGGAGGTGGCGGTGTAGTCGGAGGTCCGGATGCGGCGGAGGATGGGGTGGGTGAAGAGGGAGTGCGCGAGCACGGCGAAGGAGAGCGGGAAGACGAGGCAGGCGGTGAGCAGCGCGAAGGTGCGCGGCGCGGCGCGCGGGATCGCCGCGGAGACCCGCACCAGGTCCGCCGCGCCGAGCGCCGCGAGATCGCGCGTCGCCAGCTCCATGGGCG